GGTCAATATGATTTTGTCATTAACCATTATTATTTTGTTTAGGTCTTCGCTGGGACCTTGTCCCACGCTTGACAGTCCCGGGGGATATCCAAGAGTTTTGCTGGCAGGAATTTCACCGCGTCAGCACGTCTCGGTATGTTTGAAAATGATGATACATGGTTCTAAACAGTTTTATGAAGGCTTATGAGAATTATATATTTTACATATAATTTCTAATATTATACCCATTATGGTTTTCTAATAAGAAAGTTGACATTGCCTTTTTAAAATGTGTTTTTCAAAAACTATGTTTCTTTTCTTGTTCCTTTTTTTTTTAAGGTGTGAAATATTTTCACCATACTGACCGCTTCCCCCTGAACAACCGCAAGCTGTGGTGCTGTGATGGTGTAAGTAGAATAAATTATTTTCATATCATAAATAGAAAATTATTCAACACAGTATGTTTGACAGTAAAAGTCACATTTTACAAAATAATATTAAAATTTTTTTTGTCATTGTTTTGTGTTTGTAGGTGCACCCCAGTGACGACATGGGGATGCCTAACCTTGTGGAGTCGCTGTTGACTGCCACCAAACAGCACCTGGAGATACCAGCACCCAAGCCACAGGTGTCGTGCCCTGTGTCTCCCAAGCCTCTGCCAAAGGTGGTTCCACGTGTGATTGTGGTGGGGGAGGTTGTAGTTCCACGGCCCCCCCCTCCTGAGTGGACGTCTGTACAGTCGGGCAGGAAAGTAAGAGACTGAACTTTGTATATATGTTTCATGAAATAAAAATAAAGTTGTGAATTGATCCACATTTTTTTTTGCTTTTTGTCATTACAGAGGAACCACTCTGAACATGAGCATGGCTCTGGTTCATCACAGAGNAAAATAAAGTTGTGAATTGATCCACATTTTTTTTTGCTTTTTGTCATTACAGAGGAACCACTCTGAACATGAGCATGGCTCTGGTTCATCACAGAGAGGAGTGGTTCATTATGTGGTATGTGATCTTTCATTTAACCATGATATTTACATAACAGTGATAGTTTGTGTGCTTTATCTACGAAAATGATAAGTGTTAGAAATAATCTACATGTCTGTCAGGTGGATGGAGCTCCAGTGGCCTTGCGAGAGTGTTTCATTCCACTGAATGTGTGCTGCTGACCCCCCGCAGTGGCGCGGGAGAGCGAGGGCCCGATCACAGCTGCTTGCAGCTTTAATTTATTTTGTGACTGAAACAATGTGGGCCCTATTTAGATGGTCTAAAACGCAAAGCGCCAGGCGTGCGGCGCATGGGCGTGTCCCAGTCACTTGCTAGTTAGACAGTGCGTTTTCAGACTGTGCGCCATGGCGGAGAGTCTAAAAGGGTTGGACTTACTCTGTGAATTAGTCATGGGTGTGTTTTGGGTGTATCATTCAATAAGCCAATCAGAGTGTCACCTCTCATTCCCTTTAAAAGAGGCGCGATTGGAGCGCACGGCGGAGAGCTAGTTAGATGGCGGACCTACCAACTGGAAAGAGTGAGCGTTTTACAGCTGAGGAGACGATAAATGTATCTCTATATCGACTGTCCCGTCACATCTGATGTCAGATCAAAGGGGATTGGCACCGTTTGGCACGTTTGGCACGCGTAATGGAAACCCAACCTGATTTGATTAACACAGCTGCAAACTAATAAGTTCACATCCCTCTCAGCCAGCCACAAACAGCCACAGCATCAGATAGGGAGTATATATTCAGCATCTGTCATCTTAGAAAAGCCAAAAGAAAAGAAACAGAGTGAGACTGCGAGAGAGGAAGAGAGAGCGCGCGCGCACGAGAGAAACGTTGTCAACAAATTGTAAGTTATTCAATTTTATTTTAACCCGGGAGGTTAGAGAACCCAGCTCCCTTTTCAGCATCCTGAACCCCTCGCCTGAAGGTGCAGGAAGGGCTGGTCCCGTGGCTGCACCCGGGCCGTCTGGTCTGGCTGCACATGGGCTGCGGAGCATCCCCCGGGTGCCCCCGGCTGTGCTGCGGGCTGTGCAGCTGCTGTGCATCCTCCTCCTCCTCCTCCTCCTCCTCCTGACAAGATGATCTTCAGTTTTATGTTCTAATAGCTTTTTTTTTAAATATACATTTTTACTTGTAGGGCCATAAGTTTACGTTTTTAGTTCATAGAAGCTGGTTATTGTTGTGTTTATGTCAAAATAAAGTTTATCAAACGTTTTCACATCTTTGATTTTGTGATTTACATGCCAAAATGATCACAATTCATTTGGGAAAGACAAGTTCCTTTTACAGGCTATGCATCATCAGCCTGTGGAGGTCTGCTCGCAGTTCCGTATATTCGGACACTGCGAGCTTGGACCTCCCGAATTATGATGATCATTATTACTGCGATTAGATCATTCTGATTAATGACTGACCATTAAGACGTGTTTCTGATAAATATTTTAATGTGCACAATATTAACCTTTAACACTGTAATCATATTTTTATTTGTTATCTTTTGCATATGTGTGGCTGCTCCGTGTGTGTCTGAGCAGAGTGCACGCGCGTTGTGCACCCGCCTAGAGACGCATATTACTAACTTGTTTAACAGCGAAATACTGCGCCGTTGACTTTAGACCAGGTTTTTGTTGGTGACTGGCGCATTTTCTTTTTACGTCATCTAACTAGCAACGCGCCATGACTGCGCCTGACCACTCCTCATTTTTAGACCAACACACCCAGAGAAGCGCAAGTTCATTTGCTAGTTAGATGACGGGGGCGCAAGGCGTGAAAATGACAACTGCGCTTACATCTAAATAGCAATGGCACTTGCGACATGGATTATGCGCTCTCCGCCATCCGCTTTAGACCATCTAAATAGGGCCCTGTGTCTTCAATATGATTTTGCGTGGCTTAACATAATTAGCCGTTAATGAGACGTAAATTTCGTTTGATAATAATGTTTGGAATCTAGAAAGTGATTTCAATCATCTTTTTTTCAATAAATGTTGATTTGCTTAACTTTGCAATGCTCTGCAGTCTATTGGATCACACTAGCACTCATATTCTAATCTACAGCATATGATCAAGGTGTAATACTGCATTACATAATATTGAATGAAAATAGAAAAATAAATGCATATAGAAGTGACTTTGAATGAGACTGCTACATGTCTGCATCCCTGCAGCATTGGATTATTGCTCCATACGGGGGAGCAGGTCGGCGTTCTCCTCTGGCATGGCATTATGCTCCAGTCCATGTTGCTTGGCAATGTTATGTAGCATGCAGCAGGTCACTACAATCTGGGCCACTTTTTCTGGCCTGTACAGCAGTGCTCCTCCAGTGCATTCCAAACAATGGAACCTGCTCATCAGGATGCCAAAGGTGCGCTCATTTTTTAGTTTTCACCATAATTTTTTTTTTTTTTAAAAAATCATGTACTGACCCAGGATATTTTGCCATTTTGCCGTTGGTAATGATGCCTTTGGCATCACAAACGCACTGCACATTCAATGAATGTGTGTGTGCGATTTCTGTACACATGCTCAGTGTCTGCGGGGGGTACAAGCTGCACATGGGTGCAGTCAATCGCTCCTATAATTTTGGGAAATCCTCCTTCTCGTGGCTGGCTCCAAATCCACTCTGAGTTCCTCCAACAGCTCCAAAATGGCAATGCTGGATAGGGTGAAAGGGTGAAAAATGCGTTCCCTGCGTCGTCTTTCATCGTTTCGATGTCTCCTCCTTGCAACAATAACCGCAGCCATGTGTGCACAATTACACATACAAACTGTTTGCACCTCTCTTTGAGACGTGTTAAATATGGACGCAGTTTCTATTAGCAAAATTGCTTTCAGGTTTGATAAATCACTTTGCGTGTGCTAAATTAATATATTTACATTTTCTCCTCCCAGCACACGCACAATTGCAGGTAAATGCCCCATATTGCATATTCATTGCAGCAAATGTACTAACTGGATGCAGACACGCTATTTTGCACCTTTGAAAGATGCAACCCTTAGTGCGCACTGTTAGTAAATCAGTTTGTACATTTTTTTGCATGTGCAATGAGTTTGCACACGTTTTTATACACACAAACCTTTAGTAGATCCGGCCCTTAAAGTACTAAAAGTACAGTAAATACTGGACTTACATTCAATGTACTTGTGCATGTTCATGTTGCTAATGTGTGCTGGACATGTTCACACGTTGCCAGCACATTAGCTATATTAACGTCTACAACCACATGGTTATCAGAAGTCAGATGCACATTTTTTTAGCACTGCAGTTCGACCAAAACATTATTCTACTTTAAAAACAAATTAAAAAAAGCAGCCAACTAATAGCTGTGAGTATTGTCACACTACCATTCACTGTGAACAAACTGTTCAATGACATTGTCTGGCCAGAAATATATAGAGACAGGCATTATGCAGGGTGCAAGGCTTTTGCAGGCAGCTTTGGCTTCCTGCTCTCCCATTTACTTTGTGTTTGTGTTTGGCCTCTGTGCTGATTGTTTACATTAGGTCCCCATTAGTGTCAGAAATGCTGGGTGATGCTCAGTTACTGTGTGAGTTAGCTAAACAGAAGGGAGGGGTCAGTGTCTTCCATTTCTGTCTACTGTCCAGGTGGTAGTTGCTAGTTTGTGTGTGTGTGTGTGTGTGTGTGTGTGTGTGTGTGTGTGTGCGTGCGTGCGCGTGCGTGCGTGTGTGTGTGTGTGTGTGCGTGCGTGTGTGTGTGTGTGTGTGTGTGTGTGTGTGTGTGTGTGAGTGCATGTGAATGGAGCCTATGAGGCATTTTGATGTAGTATTTAAGTGTATATGATCATAATGACTATTGGTACGTTAGACCTAGCCAGTGTGGCTATTTGTGTTATCAGTTTCCCGATACAACAAAGTTAGTCCAGTTATGTAGCTGGCTCTCCTCAGGCCTTATCTTGATTGGCTGGGGGAGAGGCAATCTCTCTGTGAGGATCCACAGGCGCTCTCAGTTGTGCTGTGTCCATAAGTACAGACCACTCCCACCTCCTTTACAGCCTGAGAGGTCTTCATGGACAGAAGGACTGGAACTGCAGCCATCTATCAACAGGAGGTAACTGTTCGGCAAAACACAGTCAGTTTATTGGAAGGACCATAAAGTAACTTGGAAAATTGTCGAAAAGATGAAGATTTTGAGGAATTAAAGAAAACTTAGGGAAATTGTGGGAAACCATCTACAGCAAGCGTCCCGGGCTGGAGAACAATTTCTCTTCTTGCAAACCATCCTCGAAATTCATCCAACAAATTCTGAATACTATGGAGCTACCTGGTGTGGCCAGGCAAGGAGAGCCATGCTAAGTGGACTTAAAAACGAGGATAAAACGAGGATGAGTGAAAGGCCTTGTGAGTGCATGGCTAAGGCATGAGGAAGCAAATCACCAAAAAAAACAGAAACCTGCTGCTTTTAATGTAAACACGCAGCACCATGCCGACCTTGCTGCCAACCTGGTACAAGAGGACCCAAACCACAGCAGGACACACACCCCTGCTCTTACTCTTCTTTGTTATCTTAAACCACCAGGTAAATTAATACTTAACATTCACATGCATGCACACACACAGACCTTTCAATGAATGCTCATTCAAGTCTTATGTAGCTTGGATTTTACAGTGAGTCACAGTTAAACTTGGTGCTGTCTAACAGAGAATGCCACATGGTCTAAAGTCCCTAAATCTTAAACATTTAATTTGAATTCAGTATTTTTTTTCATCAAAACTCACCAGAGCATTCTCCATCTGACTGGCTGTATGAGGTAATATAGGGCAATATATTTCTCATGAAAGGAAGCAAAGACCCAGATGACAGATAACTATTGAGAAATAAACAAACAAATTTTTCTTGAGTTTTTTTTTCCATATGGAATTTGGGCCGCAAGAGGTCCCATTGCTTATAAGCATGTTCTGCAATGTCTGCTTCTTAAATTATTGTCTTAAAGAGGCAGCTCAGTGATTTGCTTGAGTGACAACTCAAAATTGTGTTTTTTTTACATGGAATAAAGGAAAGTAGCAGAGAAAGGAACACATAAAAGACAATTAAATCACAGTACTTAGAAATTGTATGCACATTCGCTTTCTCTTTATTATATACAGTGAATTATCGATTGAATTAAGAGTCTGTGGCTGGATTTGAAGCAGGTCTAGTCTCATGAGAGACAGCAGCTATTGTCTTCTTTCCGTCACTGAAAGTACCACTCTGGACATGAACCTGAGCCTTAGTGAATTAAAGCATCCTCTGTCAGCCCACTCATACAAGAAATCTACGTGACAGGTGGCGGATGAGCCCCCAGGCAGCCAAACATATACACACAGAGGTTGCAGAGTTCAGCTGCTTCCTCACTGGGATGTGAACCTCGGGAGTGTTGAGCAGACAAAGGAAAGCCACTGTTTGTGGTCCTCACACTGAATTAAAAATGACAGAGATGGTAGCTGTGGTCTGAAGTTTTCTTTCTAAATAAAGAAAATGCTAACTTGTTTCACAAATGACAGCAAATTAAGGAAGACCCATTAGTCATGGCTGAGCATTAGTTAATAATATAAAAAGATGTTAACAACAGTAGGGACACACCCACAGGCTGACATATACAGTAGAATGAAGACAGAAGTGTGTTTGCATCGGGCAGGCATGACACTAAAGAAAAAAACAACAGGATGATAACTTGCTTGTAATTTCAGATTACACACAGTTGAAAATGTCCCCTCTGAGCGTGAAGGTGGTGCTTATTAAATACTCCCACCAAGTGGGTGAATACAAATACTGCAACATCCACTGCTCACCACATCCACCCAGAGGCTGCACATACAGTGTAATGGGCTGCATCGTAAAATGTTTTTATTAGTTTGAGTAAACCAGATCAAATATATCATTAAACTAATTTTATAAAGTTTAAACTGTCATCCTCAATTTGTACATTATGTTATCAGAATCATTATTAAGTTATGGCCGTGGCTATAATCTCATTACTTCAAATATGACTTGACTGATCTTAAAATTATGATTATTATTACCTGTTAGCATACTTCCCAGCATGCATTGTGCTGGGGCTGAAAGTCCCCTTTCTTTCAATGAAGGCTTTTTCAGAATCTTTGTATACACAAGTCTCAAATGACTCACATATATCTGAATGAAACCAATATAAACATGTATTAAGTATTGCACAATATTCCTTTCCAAGGAACTAAACAAGTAAAAGGAGAGTGAATACTGGACAGATATTTGTGTAGTGGTTGCTGTGCGTCTGCTGGATATGAAAATAGACAACTGTTTGTTAACTTGTTGATTGTAACAGCTCTGTAAGTTGATAATATGCCGGTGTGTTTTTGAAGAAAGTGTAAAAATTGTGAGGTATGATACAGCTGGTACAGCGTGGAAGGCTGTATTCCAGTAGCTACATATTCATCTTTAGGCCGGATTGGAAAATGAAATTATTAATACAATGATCGCTGTTTTGTAGGATTAATTTAATCTTTCATGATCAATTTAATGCCAGCATTCTTTTCAGGTTAATGAAATAATAACCTTTCTGTCATTTTTTAGATTCACATGCAGGTAACAGGCTCAGTGCTTGAGAGTCTGATAGCTAAACGGACTGAATACTGGGAGAGCTGCAATACAACACTGGCAACGAGCACACTCTCAGACACTGGTGAGCCTCTAGTGTTGTAAAGGAACTGTAAAACTTCAATTAAAAGCCTTGTCCCAATTAAACACCTAGGGCCCTATTTAGATGGTCTAAAGCAGATGGCAGAGGGTGCATAATCCATGTCGCAAGTGTCATTGCTATTTAGATGCAGGGGCAGTTGTCATTTTCACGCCCTGCGCCCTCATCGTCTAACTAGCAAATGAACTTGCGCTTCCCTGGGTGTGTTGGTCTCAAAATGAGGAGTGGTCAGGCGCAGTCATGGCGCGTTGCTAGATGGCGTAAAAAGCAAATGTGCCAGTGACCAACAAAAACCTGGTCTAAAGTCAACGGCGCAGTATTTCGCTGTTAAACAAGTTAGTAATATGCGTCTCTAGGTGGGTGCACAACGCGCGTGCACTCTGCTCAGACACAAACGGAGCAGCCACACATGCAAAAGATAACAAATAAAAATTCGATTACAATGTGAAAGGTTATTATTGTGCACATTAAAATATTTATCAAAAACACGTCTTAATGGTCAGTCATTAATCAGAATGATCTAATTGCAGTAATAATGATCATCATAATCCGGGAGGTCCAAACTCGCAGTGTCCCAATATACGGAACTGCGAGCAGACCTCCACGGGCTGATGATGCATAGCCTGTAAAATGACCTTGTCTTTCCCAATTGAATTTTGATCATTTTGGCATGTCAATCACAAAATCCAAGATGTGAAAACGTTTGATAAACTTTATTTCGACATAAACACAACAATAACCAGCTTCTGTGAACTAAAAACGTAAACTTATGGTCCTACAAGTACAAATGTATATGTAAAAAAAAAAAGCTTTTAGAACATAAAACTGAAGATCATCTTGTCAGGATGAGGAGGAGGAGGAGGAGGAGGAGGATGACCCCAGCTCCACAGCCAGCACGCAGCCAGACCAGACGGGCCCGGGTGCAGCCACGGGACGAGCCATTCCTGCACCTTCAGGCGGGGGGGTTCAGGATGCTGGAGAGGGAGCTGGGCTCTCTGACCTCCCGGGTTGTTTCTCTCGTGCGCGTGCGCTCTCTCTTTCTCTCTTGCAGTCTCACTGTTTCTTTTCTTTTGGCTTTTCTAAGATGACAGATGCTGAATATATACTCCATATCTGATGCTGTGGCTGTTTGTGGTTGGTTGAGAGGGATGTGAACTTATTAGTTTGTTGCTGTGTTAATCAAATCAGGTTGGGTTTCCATTACGCGTGCCAAACGTGCCAAACGGTGCCAATCCCCTTTGATCTGACATCAGATGTGACGGGACAGTCGATATAGAGATACATTTATCGTCTCCTCAGCTGTAAAACGCTCACTCTTTCCAGTTGGTAGGTCCGCCATCTAACTAGCTCTCCGCTGTGCGCTCCAATCGCGCCTCTTTTAAAGGGAATGAGAGGTGACATTCTGATTGGCTTATTGAATGATACGCCCAAAACACACCCATGACTAATTCACAGAGTAAGTCCAACCCTTTTAGACTCTCCGCCATGGCACACAGTCTGAAAACGCGCTGTCTAACTAGCAAGTGACTGGGACACGCCCATGCGCTGCACGCCTTGCGCCTTGCGTTTTAGACCATCTAAATAGGGCCCCCAGTCTCATTTACTAGCCCGGTATGGCTACACATTTTGACAAATAAAGGCCTGTCTCAATTAGAAGCCTGGTCTGGTTGCCAAGTAGTTCATTTTTATATAAGTTCTTTGGATGTATAAATCTGGATTGTTGGCATGCCACCACCTAACATTAGTTAGCTGTTTAGATCGCACATACAAATATAAACATTAAACTTTTGTCAATATGGACATGCTACATATAATTTTCTTGGTTCAGTTCATTTTACTGAAACCATGAGTACCAGAGAAGCCTGTAATTCATATAGAATTCCCAGCATGATGAAGGCAACTCCCTTACTCTGAAGCTGTCAGAATGTCAGAGTATGTATCCATTCCTCGATCACCCGGTAAGTTACTGGCAGTCCTTTAGACCGTAAGGGTCCACTGATCAAAAGAACTAAAAGTGTTTTTCAAAAAAAAATAATCCAAGTTAGGAATATTGTTTTAATATTATAATAATATGTTTGTCAGTATGATGTATGCTGTGAAACAAATGTCATAATATAACATATACTTGATATGTTATTTGAGGCCTAATTTAAAATTAATATTCATACTGGTTTCAAATACACAAATTAATCATATTTCTCATCTTTCCTGAGCAACAGTTTTGTGCAAAAGGAATTAAAAGCCTGTCCCAAAGAAGCCTATTGAGTTTAGTGATTTAAGCAAATAATAGCCTGGGTTTCTAATTAAAGTTTTACGCTAATTATCTTGATTATTATTACCTTTGTGAAAACTTTGATTGTTCTTGCTTTACAGGAATCTACTGTAAAGGAATGTTTGACATGTTTGTGTGTTGGCCCCATTCATCTCCTGGGAATGTGTCAGTCCCCTGTCCTTCTTACTTACCATGGATCAGCAAGGGTAATGTTATGTTCTACCACTTCACCTCAGAAACAACTAATGTATGAGGTCTCAAATTTGAAGAAAAAAAAAAAAAAAAACATCATTGAAGCTTTGACTTTTTACATGAATGGCTCCTTGTAGGAGTCAGTCATAAGACATACTGATGTATGAACCTGCTAAATGAACCAGTGTTTAACAGAGCTGTTTAAACATTTAATTGCACAGTTATTCTTCAAATGTGAAACAGTAGTCTGCCATTGGCCATGGTAACAGCAACTATTGAGCAGAGCTCAATTCAGTCTGCTTCCTCTTACTGATTTTGAACCCCAATGGGGGGCAATGTTAATCAGTAAGGCAACCAATAGGTTGACATTTGTTGAAAGGCACAGGCAATTATGTTCCCCAGGGTGAATTAGAATCACTGTGGTAATCATTATTTAAATCTAGTGCCATCGTCTAGCGAGGATTTTAATTTGCCTGATACCATGGTTAATGACCAAATACCTGCAAATACATGTAACTGTAAGTAAATTGACATAATGACATTAGCATTTAGCTCAGAATAGCAGACACTCCAAATGGAACAGACTGATTACTTGAAATTCTTGAATAACTTCAATAAATCAAAACTACCAAGAGTTAGCAGCCAATGACGGTAGAAACAATCAGTAAATGAGGTTTTTCAACAATTGTGAATATTCGCAAGCACAAGAGGTCCTTGGGCATACAAACACAATTGTGCACAAAACATATGAGGCTGGTTCAGTAGTTTAGGAGGTTAGCTGCATTGAATCTCCGCTAAGGCCTGGCGGAGAGAATGAAGTTTTAATCACCCTACAAGAAATGGCTATACTCATCCAATTTGTGATTAAGCTGCATTATAATGTAAGAGACAACAAGAATGATATCTTTCCTCTCATCTGACTGCAGTGACAGAAGAAACCATGCAAATAACAATGTGTCTTTCACTTACCTGCAGAGGTCTCCAGGAGGGCACACCGTGAATGCTTGGAAAATGGAAGGTGGCGACAGAGGGAGAATTCTACTGAGCCCTGGAGGGATGACTCAGAATGTAAAGAGGACCATTACTTCAAAGACAAGGTACGGAGAAGAGTGCAAAATACAATCTCTGCTCCCCCTAAGTGTTGGAGCTGAAAACACCTCCTTTTATTAGAAACATCTGAAGAGGTGTTGTTATTTCCTCCATCATACTTTATGTTTGTGCATATGTATGTGTGCGCAGGAGAAGGAATTGCTTCGCCAGACAGCCCTCAGAGTCATCTCTGTCATTGGCTATTCCCTGTCCCTGTTCTCTCTCACACTGGCTACTCTTCTGATGGGCATGTTAAGGTCAGTGGAAGTTGGTGATGATTGTTATACAATCAAATAATATATTTTGTGTGGAGAAACAGCAGATAAAGGATAGTTCTGCTGTATTAAAAGTTCAATATTATTTGCAAATTTTTGGTCCTCATTTCTCTCAATTATGATAGCATTGCTCAGCAAAGTAATTACTGAGATCTGAAAAATGGTGGCAACAACATCTGACAACAGATTAGAGCTGTTAGGTGACTGGAGGTGGCTGATGTAGTGTGAGCGTGAAGTTTTACTTCCAGTTCACACATTATCATCATCTTGCTATCATGTTTGATTTATATAGTAATACCACCCAAACACACCAACTAAGTCCATGGGTTCATGTTGACAATGATCCCTCACTGCGTAAGAAACAGTTTGTGCGCATATACTAGGGCAAGAACATTGGGTCAAACAGGAAGTCGGTCTGTAAACTGTGGGAATAATGTTATGGTTTGTCTTAATAATCTCAACAGAGATTTATTTAAATCCTGTCTTATGTCTTATGACTGCTTCCTTACCCCTACTTGGTTTTAGTAATATAACCATGCTCCCAGATTTTTGGAATTAATTTGATGAGTAAAATGTAGCAATAAAACTTATGGTCAAAACTACTGAGACCTACGTTGTGATAACTGGAATGAGCCCTTGGGATTTGTACCTGTTTTCAAGGTGTTACATTGGATGCTTATTGACCAAATCAAATATGGTATTGGTAGCTAAAAATTGTTCAATTTGCCACTGTAATGAAAAAGAACAAAAATACTCATTTCATATTGGCAACTTAAAGGTGCCTATATGCACCTTTCTTTTAAAATAAAATTGGCAGTATTTGTAAATGTATTTAATTATTTTGAAAAGTTCTGTATATAACTTCATACATGTATTATTCTTTGTTTTATTACCAATGGGTGAACAGGTTGCCAACAGACAGCAAACACCAACCACAACACAGACTACATGTGTTGTGGTTACATACATGTTATAGTGGCAGGGGGTCTGAACCTGGACTGCCTTCTCCATAACCCCAAGCAAAGAGGTTATAATGCCAAGAGGCAACACTAACATTCTTTTTGCACAACAGCCACAAGAGGGTGCACTTACAGCATTGCTGCCATTTTGGATGAAATGGTGCTCCTGTTAAAGCTACTCTTACCTTTCTTGCATTTCACACAGGGGCGAAAATCCCATTTCATACTTGGGGGGACAATAAACAGTAAAATTTTAGAGAATAATTCCAGGGGGGGACAAGGAAAAAAAGTTGTAGCCTGTCTTTTATACAGCATCTTTTACCGCAATTTGACGCTTTAATCTTCTCTTCTCTATCTCTCCAACAAGCAGAGTGAATGTCTATACTAACTAAACTAAAACTACAACTAAACATTTTCTGCAATTAAACTGGTAAAGTGGTTTATAAACAGTGTGCTGTGAGATCTGCCGCTGCGCACCTCACAACCGTGCGTAATAGTCGCGCGTAATGACCGCTCCTCGTCTGCACGTCTTTGATGTTTGTCTCACTGACAGGAGGAGAGCCTACAGACAGGTACCCATACAAGCTGCTCTGTCACAACCGTGCGTAATAGTCGCGTGTGATGACCGCTCCTTGTCAGTTAGACTGCACGTCATTCATGTTTGTCTCACTGACAGGTGGAGAGCCTACAGACAGGTACCCATTGCTCCGCCACTGACTGCTCTTGTCCTGTCCTCTCCCTCTTCTTTCTCTCCTGTCCTCTCTATCACTAAACTCTGAGCTTAATCATTAGCTTTTAGCTTAGCAGCACTCGTAATTGAGTAGGCTTTTGAACAATGCAGGAGAAATGTTGCAGACAGTTTATATTATCAGCCTGGGCCTGGGGCTTGTTGTAACAGTAAATGGGATGTGTTGTAACTTGTGTAAGTTAAACTGTGTCTGTGTGAGTGAACATCTTACCCTGCGATGCGAGATGTGGGCAGCGGTTCCAGCCACACGCTGCTACTGCTGCCAAGCAGCCCCGCCCATTGGAAAGAGTGTGGGATATAACACTACTAAGATTTAAATAGCACATTATTGCGCGATTATAATGAGCACTGCTTACATTGTGCTTTTAATAAATACTACTGCATTGTTCAAAAATTATTAATTGTGTCTCAAATGATTCTAGGGGGGTACAGCTTTACTGAAGGGGGAGTCATGTCCCTCCTGTCCCCCCCGGGATTTCCGCCCCTGATTTCACACAGCACTTTGAAAAAATTATACAACTCCCACCTCCCTCCAAACTCCCATCCCCCTCCTCCTGCAACTCCACCTGTCCAGAGTGATTTCATTTACCTATGTGCTCCACCACCAATTCAATATGTTGATTCAGCCAAAAAAAAAAAAAGCCAACAAGGGTCGACTAGTGCAGACAGTGCCTGAGTGGGGCAGACAGACACTTAACCAACAGCCCGACATTGACTATCGGCCAACTGTTGGCGTGCTGTGTCAGGGCCATAAGAAATGAGCTGTTTGTTTTGGTGTTAACTCTCACTCCTGTGTTGTTTGCTTGTTGCATTGGATCATGGTGTGAATATATATAGAAAAAATGTTATTTATGGTGGAGGAAGAGTTATACATTTTCCCCCAGTCAATCAGGAGGCTCATGAAAAAGTATTTGTAACTTCCCTGACAAATGGCTTATGAGGAATAATGCAATGCAGTGTATGTTAGATAACTAAACTTAGCACAAAAAGTAAGGGAATTTGTGTTTGGTGGATTATTTCTTTGTTGTAACAATGCTTCTTGGCAATAAATCTTTTAAACAAAAAATAAATCTGCGACACAGCCTTGATCTTATAGCGCTCTTCCTCCATCCTTTACGGTTGGCCTTAGACCAGAACCGTGGCACCTCTCCCCATCCTAGCCCTGCTCTCCCTGCCTGGACTCTGTCAACGATCTCATGGTGTTGCAGCCTACTGACAGCAAGGTCGACCTCAGTTTGAGCGTTCCACCTCCGGCTGGTAAGAACCTTGGCATTTGCATTCCTCACCGACTGGTCAGTGGACTCTCTTAGCTCAAGAACCAGCCTGGTCTTCTCTTGCATGTAGCCCAACCTGATGGACTGCAGTGGCAGCTGCAGAATGTTCTTCCCGAAGAGGCCCATTTCGGAGAGACACTGTGGCAGCCCCAGCCACTTTCAGATGAATGAGTTGGCTTTTCCATCCATCTTACTGGTAGTGGATGAGGGGATCTCACTCATTTTCAGCGGGCACAAAACTCAGTTGTTTATTTAGCTTAACGATATCTCAGGACTATAGTAGCTGCAATGGACGACTTTGAACGCGATTTTGAAGAGTTTCTTGTAGCGGACACAGATCCAAAGCCATACCTGTTTGAGCCAGAGTATACAGATGAGGAACTCCAGGTGATGGATGGTGAGCGGGCGAGAAGAGAGGCTGAATCCTCTGAAGCGGTGGAACAGCAAGGGGCCGAGGGGAGACGGAGGTCAGGGGAGGATTGGTGGTGTAGTTGCGGGGCTTGCCAACCTATGCCTAAGGAGGTGGAATCATTTTGCACAGAATGGGATTTGGGATTTGGGAGTGAGTAATATCACTTTATAATGCACATTTACAGTCCCTTTTCATCTAGCCTTTAGGTTTGCCTTGAATGTTTTTGTAAGTTGCAATAATACATTTTCGAGGCATGATCGTCCGTGTCGTCTCTTTGTTTGCTTTTACTGAGTGACCTAGCGTACCTGTCCCAGAGCCAGCTGCAGCTGTTGCTCACCGGTGTATCCCTCTGCGCAGGACGCAAACCCATTCTTGTTCTGTGTATCAAAATTCTTCAAAAATGACTAAAAAGGACTCTCGTTTTTCGAATTAATGTTTAAAACATGTTTATTTTAAATGCACGTGCAGAAATGCCAGTTTCAGGGTTTCTGTAACATTTATTTGTTCACTTTTACCGAGCAGGGCACTGACCCCCTATAGACTTCAATTGTATTTGCTAAGCTAAGCAACAATACTAACAGCTGAGACCCAGCCACTGGACGTAAAGACAAAAAAAAGATATCGATCATGTTGTCTCAATATGAAAATGATAGAGAAAGGGCATAACTCCCAAATCGTCAGAGTATTCCTTTGAGTAACCTGCTACCAGGTTCTTGATACAGAAGGGCATGTAGAAGAACGTCTTTTGGAGTTTGTTTCCTTTGGGATGAAGACCGCCAGGCAGTTCTTATTAGGTACCACAGCAGCTCTAGTACCTTGGGACAGTTCTTATAGAGCTTGTAGAGGACTCCATTGGGGCCTGGTGCTGATAAGGACCTTTCCTTCTTCACGACTTGCCTGACTTCACTGAGCTTGGGGGGCTTGATGTTGAACTCGGCTGTCGGTGGTGCAGGCTGAGGCATGTACTCCTGTTGTTCCTAAAGGGACGTTCCTTAACGGATCACTGTACTGCCTCTTGGCGTGCTGTTCCAGTTGCTCCCTGATGGTTTCGAGCTTGCGTTTTTGCTTCCTTTTGCTGTGCTTACGGATGCATTCAGCTCTGCAAAACCTGGATAGCCTTTGCCTGACCTCCTGCCACAGGGCTTTCAGACCCTCTTTCTCTGCCTGCGTTGCCTTCCTCCAGTTCTTTGCACTAGTTGGAGGATTTCCTTCTCCCTCCTTCCCTTCTCTCTTAGGGTGGTCCTCTGTTTGGGGGTAACTTCCCCAAACCTGTCCTTGCAGGTCTGGTATATGATGTCTCCAATCAGGTTAAGCTTGGATTCAACCCCTCCATGCAATGATCCCTCAAGTGTTTGGTCCCAGACTGTGGAGATATGGGATTGCCACTGGTTGCAGAATTTCATCTCGATATCTCTCTGCATTGAGATTGCCTCCAATGTTTTTCCAGTGAGGGAGATGCCACCCCACACCATTACACTGCTTCAACCAAAAGATGTTACTCTATCGGTGCAGCAATCAGCAAAGCGTTCTCTGTATCTTCTCCACATTTTGACCCTACGATCCAACTGCCGTAAGCAGAATCTGGACTCATCGCTGTGCATAACTTTCCTCCACATGTTCAGGTTCCAGTGCACTTGTTGCCAACACCAGCGCAAACAGCCCTGACAGTGAAGGGCAGTCATGGCAGGCCTCCTGTGCCCTATGAGACCGGAGATTGCATGCAGTCTGAGCAGAGAGCCATTGGCCATATTGTCCTGTAAACCTTGACTGCAAATCTGTAGAAAACAGCCTACAGTTCCCAAGTGCTGACAGGATTAGGAAACAGCCTTCTTGGGGTGCCGTCTTTATGGGACGCCCACTTCGCGGCCTGTCTCTGACATCCCTCATTATATGGAACTTGGCCTTCAGTTTGCAGATGGTACTAGGGCTCACTCCAAATAATGCTGCAACTTGGTTTTGCGGAACACCAGCTTGAAGTTGCCCTAACGTACAGGACCTATCCAGATCAGTCAAACGTGGCATGCCGATTCTTGGAGCAGACACCAACTGACCACTGTAGCAGGGCCCATGCTCACAGGTGCTGGGGGTACCAGAAGCTCAAAACAAGAGTCAGTAGCAACAGCAAAAAAAAAGCTGTTTGGCATTGGCAGAGGAGATTTGACAAATTTTTCATGGGTTGCAACCCACATTCTCAGCTCTGCTGCTCATCCCACAAATGCATGTTCCTTACAAATGTGGCACCATTTGAAGGGGAAATAAACAGGCTTTCCAACAGTGTAAGATTTATTGCCAAGAAGCATTGTTACAACAAAGAAATAATCTACCAAACACAAATTTCCTTACTTTTTGTGCTTAGTTTATATTGCTTATCTAAATAAATTAAAATTGACTTACAAATATAGCATAGCACAAGGTTAGATGAGCCTACCCATTTACAGAATCATATTAGCATGGTGCCATCATGATATGAGCTATCAATCAATCATAATCAAAGTACTCATATTGCACATCAAACTTAGTAATGATAATCAACAGAAATGTAAGAGTAGTATCGAAGTGGACATTTTATGTACCAAAAATGCTAGAGGGAGCTAGCCTAAGAGAAGACAAAAAACCACAAGGCTGTCCTGCTCAAAATAAACATCCAGCCTAAGTCAAATATATGCATACACTGATGCTGTACAAACTACTTCCAGCAGGGGGAGAAAAAACCAAACTAAAGGAAAATAAGTCCTGAGTAGGCAAAATGTAGCGCACCAGGCTTTGGGGCTAACTTTCATAGTGGCCAAACAGTGGAATTAAAACTTCCCGTTCACTCTTGATGCCCAAAGAAACTAGTCGAGATTGGAGTGAATCAATAAAGCAGTGAATCACACAATGTTTAATCTGTCACACAGTGTTCTTAGGGCTAATAAGGTTGGTAATAATAACGATAGAGTCAATGAATGACTTGGCTGAGGTGAGGATGCATGTGAAGAAGGAAATTAGACAACTCAACAAATACCACAGGAATATTCAACATACAAACATGCAGTATACCTTCATCCTGTGATTGATTTTTGGATAGCCTGATCTTCCAGACCTTTCATAACTCCATAACAATACAACTAGTTAAAACAATGAACACATTGCTTGACAAATAAATCAAACATAATTTACTAAAGGATAAGCCATTTTGTTTTTTATGAATTAAAATACACGTACACAGCTTTAAAAAATGCTAATATTGGTGTAAAATGATATGATGCATACCGTCATATAATGAATAACTTGGGGGCTGTCAGAAATCACTCTAGGCTAATATGCAATTATTTAAAAGGTATTTAAAGGTAAGTTTTATGTTTATTAATGTGAGCAATCACTTGTAGCATCCCTGTACATTTTGTTCCTGGTGCTGATTTAAATGTCCACTTCCTCTTCTTTAAGTTACCCTTCAAAGATATTAGTCTAGATGATTTTAGTTCAGTGATCTCTATCTTTATATCTAAGGTTTAAAAACATTTTGGCAAATACTCACAGTGGTTCTACGCTTATGATTAGGCTAATGTCAGATGACACTCACATCAAGATAAGTCAAATCCATGTAAACAAAGATGGCACACTCCCATTTTTCACTGTGTCCAAACCAGTAAGCAATCTCCCTAAGCAGTCCTTGGGAAAGAGTTTTGAGCACACTCTCATGTCGGATCTGAGATAATCTGAGAAAGTTTGGATGTTATTATTGGGGTAAGGTAACATTATGTTGCAAACTTAGAAGCTAGCTTAGCTATCTTGTTACATTGCCTGAAAATAAGGTACTTACCTTAGCAATCAGGTGTGTGGGTTACTCAGAAATTGATGGAAAGAAACACCTTGATCACACTCCCACCATTTGCTTTATAAAATAATGGACGTAAGTGTCATGATGTCACCCACTGGTTTGTGGACTCTCATTCTGAAGTTCTGATTTTTTTTTCACCATCTTGGTTTTTTGGAGTCTATAGTGTTCATATTTAGGCAAGAGGATGGAGCTGTGGAGGAGCGAGGGGTGGCTCTGACTCAGACTGTAGAAACGCCTCGTTTGAAATTAGCCATAGAGACTAAAACTGTTTTTTTGTACCAGATTTTATATATATTTATCTCTGCAGTAAAGCTGGGCATGGTAACATGGGGTTCTGTGGGGACTGAATAAGTTGGAGGAAGTAAATGGGGGAAAACGCAAAGTGAAAATGATAAATACATAAATACATTTGAAAATTAATAAATATATTTAAAGAAAAGAATCAAAATAAACTAAGGTAAATTAAAAAAAAAAAACATTATATAAGAATAATAGAAATTAATAAAAAATAAAAAAGGAAAACTAAATACCAAAGTTAATAAATAGGAAAATCAGTACAAAGATAAATAAATAAAGACACAAATTAAAACATGATATGTTTCATGGCATATTAATACATTTATCAAATCATTTATTTATTTTTGATTATGGCAGCTTCCATCCTCCACATGGGACAGATTCACTAGCTTAACCGCTACCAATGATGTGCATTGTCTCACAGTAATGTGAGATAACCCACTACAAGACTATTATAATCAGCATTACTTACAAATGCCATTATAAAAATCCAGGAAACATGTATGGACCTTAAACATTTTGCATTATATCTTATGTCATGCCATAGTGACTATTTAACAGTTACAAAGGAAGTATGAATCAATGCCTTCTTCAAACTGCTCCTGTATCTGCTCACCAGGAAGCTCCACTGTACCAGGAACTACATTCACATGAATCTATTTGTGTCATTCATCCTGAGAGCCATGGCTGTCATCTCGAAGGAAATCATATTATACATCATGTACTCTAAGCTACCCAAAGATGACCCAGGATGGAACTCCTACTCAAGCTCTCCGGTACAAAAAAGTACTGTCTTAGTATTCACACATCAGCAGATCTTTGAGAATGGGGCCTTTCTGATTCTATTCTAGGTGAAACCTGGGTAGATAATAAAGCACTGCTTAACCAAAGCAGTTTATATCAACTAAACTACTTGTAACATTAATTTAACATATCTCTCAACAGATAGCGTTGTTGTGTAAACTCTCCAAAGTGTGCATGGAATACTTTGTGGCTTGTAACTACTTCTGGCTCTTGGTGGAGGCCATTTTCCTCCACATGCTGCTCTTCACAGCTGTGCTAACCAAGAGATGTTTGCTGAAGAAATACATGCTTCTAGGATGGGGTAAACCATGAATTAATGTTCTATGTGTGTGTGTATGTGTGTGTGTGTGTGTAATTACACACAATTTATAAATTAATCATTGATTAATTTGAGTTTGATGATAAATTGTTCCATCTTATGTTCTGGTTATTTTTCAGGAACACCTATTTTGTTTGTAACACCATGGACAGTGGTCAAGATTTTATATGAAAACACAGAGTGAGTGTTTAATTGCATATCTCTGAAGGAAGGACGCACAACTCCAATGTTTCCAGTCATGATGGGTGCAAGTTGCAGAGATATTCCAAAGAAACTAGTAGGCAACAGTACTCACAAAAGACTAGAGTCAAAATCTATGTTTTAATAGGGCAACACACGGCCAAACAAAATGACAGACGCGTTTCGGCCTAAGCCTTCTTCAGTGTATCAAACAGAGGCAAAGACACTGAATACTATATATACATAGGTAAAGTTCTGGCACCAATGACAGTGCAAGGTGTAATGAGAGGCAATGGAAACATATGTGTAGCAGCTGCAGCCAATGACAGGCTGACACAAGACAATTGCCAAGACGGATGCACAAGAATCAATACATGCAAACAGAAATATTCAAATACATTGAAACATATAAGAACACCAAAATTATTAAGCTTCAGACTAGTTGAATGAGAAAAATGTTAGACAAGAAGGGGAGAATTAAAGTAACAGAAAAGAGCCTGAAAAGAGGTTTTTAAGTCACTGGATCTAACTCTACTAGAGACTAAAAGAACCCCAGAAAAACAGTCTGAACCTATTACAAAGAACCTACACATCAATACTAAAAATATGGAGTAAGAAAAAGTTTTAAAATGATTACAGGGTTCTACTAATCAATTGTATAATACTGAATAGTCTTAATAGTGGAGGGAACAGTAAACGCATTAATTAAGGTGAAAAAAGTCTCTGAAAAAGAGAGACATTTACATTCAAATACATACACCCCCAACTGATTTCTTGGTAGATCTCACAAAGCTTGTTCTTACCAAAAATTATTTTAAATTTGAGGACTCTTTCTACCTGCAGTGTCAGGGCGTCAGTATGGGGAGTTTATGTTCTCCCAACTATGCCAGTTTATTCATGGGCAAATCTGAGGATGACTATGTCTACAGGTGCAACCCTTATTTTTCTGCTGGTTCAGATTCATCGATGATATTTTTTGTATATTTTCAGGGACGGTGGAGGAGTTAACAGCCTTTCACACATAGCGCAATTCCTTTATGCCAACCATAAAATTCACACTTGAATATTGTCAAGATTCTGTTTCTTTTCTCTATGTTCTTGTGAAAAAAAACAGATCCTCTCAGCACCAGTGTTTTCAGAAAACCTACAGATAGAAATACTCTTATTATTATTATACTAGTTATCATCCTCCAGGTTTGAAGAAAAGTCTTCCTTACAGTCAACTGCTGAGAGCAAAGAGAATCTGCAGCTCTGACAATACTTTTAATGAACAAGCGCATGAGATATGTGATCGTTTCAACAGTAGGGGTAATCACGATTCGGTGGTCCAAACCTGCTTTGATAAAGCTAAAGATGTTGATAGGAGTGGTTTATTGGCCTCTAAACCTCCCTCTAGAAGGGACTCAGAATTGGTTCTAGCCACCACCTTTTCTCCATTATCTTATGATATTAAGCAGGTTGTTTTGAAACCTCTCATAGGACATTATTTCCAAGCCCCGCCTATCTTTGCACATAAACGCGCCAAAAATATAAGAGACATTTTAGTCAAATCTGACCTCGACATTTTCTTTCTCCTTCTAACCTTCCTGGGGGTAATTTTCCTTGCTTTAATTGTGCCCAATGTAGTGCCATGGTTAAAGGGGACATTTTTCAATCAATCAATCAATCAATCAATCAATCAATTCATCAATCAATTTTATTTATAAAGCCCAGTATCACAAATCACAATTTGCCTCAGAGGGCATACGACATCCCTCTGTCCTTAGGACCCTCTCAGTGGATAAAGAAAAACTCCCCAAAAAAACCCTTTTTAAAAAAAATGGTAGAAACCTCAGGAAGAGCAACTGAGGAGGGATCCCTCTTCCAGGACGGACAGACGTGTAATAGGTGTCATACAGAACAGATCAACATGATAAATAAACAGTAATCCGTATGACAAAATGAGACAGACAGAGAGACAAAGACAGAGAGATGCAGGACAGATGGTAATGACAGTAGCTTACAACAACATTAATTAAAGTAATAATATTATAATTCTAATTACGGCTATTGTATTAAACAGTGTTCTGGTGGGATAATATGGCACTATGAGCTCTCTAAGATATGAAGGAGCCTGACCATTTAAAGCTTTGTACGTTAGGAGAAGGATTTTAAACTTAAATTCTGGATTTTACAGGGAGCCAGTGCAGAGAACCTAAAACAGGAGAAATATGATCTCATTTCTTAGTTCCTGTTACTACATGTGCCGCTACGTTCTGAATTAGCTGGAGAGTTTTAAAGACTTATTAGAGCTACCTGATAATAGGGAGTTACAGTAATCCAGCCTAGAGGTAAGAAAAGCATGGACTAATTTTTCTGCATCTTTTTGGGTCAGGATAGGCCTATTAAGATAAGATAATATAAGATATACTTCAATGATCCCCCAGGGGGGAAATTCAAGTATCACAGCAGCACAAGACAAAATCAAAGGACATTAAATAGAATAAGATTAAAGAGAAAAAATAAAAATTAAAGATAATAAAAGATAAATAAAAGATAAAATAAAATTGCTACATCAATAAAATTGCTACATCAGATGAATAAAGTGACTAAAAAATGGCAGACAAAGTGAGAAATTAAATAAAGTGACAGGTGGCAGATAAAGTGTCATTATTGGACAAATGCAAGACAGGTCAGTTCAGAGTTAGATATAGCTTAAGCCAGACCGCTGTTGTACAGTCTGATGGCGGTGGGCACAAAGGAGCGTCTGAATCGTTCAGTTCTGCACCTGGGTGGGATAATCCGCTGGCTGAATGAGCTGCCCATCAGTCACAGCTTGTCGTGTAGGGGGTGAGAAGGATTGTCCAGGATTGCACAGATTTTGTCCTTCACCCTCCTCTCAGCCACTGTTTCTAGACTGTCCAAGTCCAGTCCCACAACAGAGCGGGCTTTCCTCACAAGCTTGTTGAGCCTGTTGACCTCACCAGTCTTAACTCCACCCCACCAGCACACTACAGCAAAGAAGAGTACACTGGCAACCATAGATTGAAGGTCCTGAGGAGCCCACTACAGACGCCAAACAATCTGAGTCTCCTCAGGAAGAACATCCTGCTCTGTCCTTTCCTATAGAGGGCATCTGTGTTATGAGTTCAGTCCAGTTTATTGTTGATGTGGACCCCAAGGTACTTGTACGAGTCCACCATCTCCACCTCCTCGCCCTGGATGGTTACTGGGGCAGGTTGCCTCCGGTTCCTACGGTAGTCCACCACCACCTCCTTAGTCTTGCTGATGTCGAGTTGAAGGTGGTTTCGGTTGCTCCACGCGACAAAGACCTCAATCAGTTCTCTGTACTCCTCCTCGTCATCATTGATGACTGATGCATCCGACTATAGAGGAGTCATTGGAAAACTTTTGGAGGTGGAAGGAACCAGAATTGAACCGGAAATCAGAGGTGTAGAGGGTGAAGAAGAATGGTGCCAGAACAGTTCCTTAGGGCACCCCGGTGTACTTGAAACCACCTCAGATACGCAGCCATCCACCCTGACATACTGCGGCCGGCCCGTGAAGTAATCCAAAATCCAGGCAGTAATGTCCAGGTGAAGTTGCATATCCAGCAGCTTGTCTCTCAGGAGGCTGGGTTGAATGCTGTTGAAGGCACTGGAGAAGTCAAAGAATATGACTCTCACAGTGCTTCCAGCACTCTCCAAGTGAGACAGAGCCTTGTGAGTGAGGAAGATGATGGCATTCTCCACACCAATGTGCTGATGGTAAGCAAACTGCAGGGGGTCTAGGAAGGCAGAGAGCAGTGCTGGAGAACAAGCCTCACAAATGTCTTCATGATGTGACGTTAGCGGCACCAGCCTGTAGTCATTGAGAGTGCTGGGACATCCTTTCTTAGGTACTGATACGATGCAAGAGGTCTTCCATAGGTCAGGCACCTTCTTCAACCTCAAGGAGAGGTTAAAGAGGTGCTGAAAGACTCCAGCAAGTTGCCCAGCACACACCCTGGGGCTGATGTTGTCCGGCCCGCTGGCTTTATTCCACCTCAGGCTGGAGAACTCCATCTGTACCTCAGATGATGAGAGCAGCATCTCTGACAATTTTCGCAATATTATGCAGATGAAAAAATGCAGTCCGTGAGATTTGTTTTAAAGGAGAATTAAAAGACAAATCTTGGTCAAATATTACCCCGAAGTTTCTTACAGTAGTGCTAGAGGCCAGAGCAATGCCATCTAGAGAAACTATGTCATCAGATAAAGAGTCTCTGAGTTGTTTGGGTCCAAGAACAATAACTTCACTTTTGTCTGACTTTAACATAAGAAAATTGGTGCTCATCCAGGTTTTTATGTCTTTAATGCATTTTTGAAGTTTAGTTAATTGATCAGTTTCTTCTGGCTTTATCGATAAATACAATTGTGTATCATCCACATAACAATGGAAATTTACAGAATGATTTCTAATGATGTTACCTAAGGGAAGCATATATAGAGTGAATAGGATTAGGCCGATCACAGAACCTTGTGGAACTCCAAAACAAACTTTAGTACATAGAGATGATTCACCATTAACATGAACGAACTGAAAATGCGAAGATAAATAACATTTAAACCAGCTTAGTGCAGAACCTTTTAGGCCAATTAAATGTTCCAGACTTTGTAGCAGAATTTGATGGTCAGTTGTGTCAAATGCTGCACTAAGATCTAATAAAACAAGTACAGAGATTAATCCTTTGTCTGAAGCAATCAGAACATCATTTGTAATTTTAACTAGTGCTGTCTCAGTGCTATGATGCACTCTAAATCCTGACTGAAATTCCTCAAATAAATTATTATCAAGGAGAAAATCACACAGCTGGTCTGCAACTACTTTCCCAAGGATCTTTGAAAGAAAGGGAAGATTAGATATTTGTCTATAGTTGGCTAACACCTCTGGACCCAAGATGGGCTTTTTTAGGAGAGGTTTAATTACAGCTACCTTAAAAGACTGTGGTACATAGCCTGTTAATAAAGATATATTGATCATGTCTAATAAGTGAGTGTTAACTAAAGTTAAGACTTCCCTAAATAACCTAGTTGGGATGGGGTCTAAGAGACACGTTGATGATTTAGATGAAGAAATAATTGCAGTCAATTGTTGAAGAGAAATCGGGGAGAAGCTATCTAAATATATATTAGGTCTTACAGCTGTGTTTGAGGGCAGATTGGTTCCATTTGACGGCAGGAGGTCATGAATTTTGCCTCTAATAGTTAGAATATTGTCATTAAAAAGCTCATAAAATCATTACTGCTAAGGGCTAAAGGAATACAAGGCTCAATAGAGCTGTGAATCTCAGTCAGCCTGGCTACAGTGCTGAAAAGAAACCTGGGGTTGTTCTTATTTTCTTCTATTAAAGCTGAGTAATACTTTGCTCTGGCATTGCGGAGGCCCCTCCTACAGTTTGAGACTTTGTTCCCAGACTAAGCGAGATTCTTCCAGTTTGGTTAATCTGCAATTCCTTTCAAATTTTCGCGATATTTGTTTTAATTTTCAGGTTTGAGCGTTGTACCAAGGAGCGAGCTTTCTTTGCTTTGTTAACTCCTTTTTAAGAGGTGCTACAGAGTCGAGTGTTGTTTGCAGCACGCCTACAGGGCTATCGACAAGATGGTCAATTCGGAAAAGTTTAAAGTCGGTACGGAAAACCTCTGTTACAGAAGGATATGGTTTTAAATTCAACGTCGATGGAATCTTTGCCTTAAATTTTGCGACAGCGATAAACATCTAGTATAGTAGCTGTTGCTGAGTGGCATGTAATTGAGTAGAAAGAAATCAAAAGTAATCAAATAATGATCTGATAGAGAGGGATTCTGTGGAAAGACTGTTAGGTTATCAATTTCAATTCCATACGTCAGAACTAGATCGAGGGTATGGTTAAAACAATGAGTGGGTGTTATGCCCAGTCTAGGGGTGTCTGGGACACAACATGAAAGGCCCCCATCTTCCCCAAGTCCCAAGTAGCCACAATGAAAAAGACGTATGGAACGATCAATAGTGCGAATTTATTTACAATATTTAAATAACAGAATTAACTGAAATAGTAACTTCAGGGTGGACTAAGGCCAAAATAACAAACAAAAACAATCCTGCCCAGGGGGTAAGTAAATAACCTAACCAAACAATAAAAAAAACAAATGACAAAAAGCTTACCTCCCTAACTAAATAAACAGGAGAAAAAGGGTTGGTAACACAACTGGCGGTCCACCCCTACGATTTAACAGTCTTTAACAATAATGATTTACTGCAACAACAATATGTGTGGCCGGTTGGGAGAGGAGGAAGGTGAGGTCTGCCTGCTAGCTCGCAGCAACTGCCATCTTTGTCCTTTAAAAACCTGACCCCCCTTGGCGGCAGCCAATCAGGAATGAGCACCGATCAAATTCACCAATCCTCGCCGGGCTATGGCACACACCTATTTGCATACAGAAAAACACAGAGAACACGCACAGAGAAGACATGCAGCAAAACACACGCAAACAAAATAAATTACGACAACAGTCGTAACAGTGGGTTTATGTGCACCCTGACTGAAGCCAATGGAGTCTAATAATGAGATAAACGCAGTAGCCATTACCATCATCATTATCATCATCAACATGAATGTTAAAATCACCTACAATAATAACTTTATCTGATTTAAGAACTAAACTGGATAAAAACTCTGAGAATTCAGATACAAATTCAGAATACGGGCCAGGAGCACGGTACACTATAACAAATAAAAGTGGCTGCGAGGTTTTCCAGGTCGGATGTAAAAGACTAAGAACAAGGCTTTCAAAGGAATTTTAATCTAGTTTAGGTTAAGGGTTCTGATTAACAGACTAGAGTTAAAAATGGCTGCAACTCCCCCACCTCGGCCGCTGCCTTGAGGAATGTGGGTATTATTATGACTGGGAGGAGTGGATTCATTTAGACTGACATATTCATCTTGACACAGCCAGGTTTCAGTGAGGCTGAGTAAATCAATATGATTATCTGATATTAATTTGTTTACTAACACTGCTCTAGATGTTAGAGACCTGATATTTAACAGTCCACATTTAATCCTCCCTCCTGATTTGTCTTTCTGACACAGAAGAGGTTTTAATTTTTATTAGGTTGTTATGAACAACTCCTCTTTGTTTAATTTTAGATTTAGATAATTTAGGTGGTCGGACATGTGGCTAAACATGTCATCAGTGGTCTGATTTGGGAGGGGTCCAGAGAAAACTACTGAGTCCGACATAGTTTTAGCATATTCACACACCGCGGCATTAATTTTAGTGACCTCCGATTGGCATAACCAGATGTCATTGCTGCCGACGTGAATAACAATCTTATTAAATCTACATTTAGCCTTAGCCAGCAGTTTTAAATTTGACTCAGTGTCGCCCACTCTGGCCCCAGGGATACATTTGACTATGGCTGCTGGTGTTGCTAACTAAACGTTTCTCAAAATAGAGCTGCCAGTGACCAGAGTTTTCTCCTCAGCGGGTGTGTCGCTGAGTGGGGAAAATGGTTGGAAACATGAACAGGCTGGTGGTTAACAGTGGGCTTCGGCTTGGTACTATGCTTCTCCTGGACAGTTACCCAGCCTCCCGGCTGCACAGGGGTTACCGGGGGACCGCTAGCAGAGGCTATGCAAAGTGGCTCTGCACAGGCTACAGGGGGCTGGCTAACTACCGCAGCTACAAAATGATTTTCCATGGTGCAGAGCCATGCTTCCAATTCACTAAGCCTCGCCTCCAATGCAACAAATAAACTACAGTTTTTACTTTTACCACAGTCGCTAAAGGAGGCAGAGGCATAACTGAACATCTAGTACACCGAGCAAGAAAGAGCAGGAGAAGGAGAAGCCATTGCTAAGTGTTAAGCTAATGTAGCTAACAAGGCTAATAACGTGCAAACAACAGCTAAGATTAGCAAGAAAGTCATTAAAAAGAGGAGAGATCTAAGTGCTTATACAGAACTAGTGTGGGTTAAGACGTGAAGTACGTGTTAACAGAAAACAAGCTGGTAGGAGTTTGCTAGAGCAGCACAGAGACGTCATCACAGAAACACAGGAAATGACACAACACGCTTACCGCAGTACTCCAGCATCCCCATAAGGACAAAAAGTTCCGCATAACAAACAGAATTACCTGCAAAAGCAATTATGTAATGTATCTTCTTAAATGTCCATGTGGATTGGGTTATGTTGGTAAAACTAAGCGAGAATTGAAAACAAGGATTTCTGAGCACAAATGCAGTATCAGAAACAGAGATGAGAAATCCCCAGTGGCCAGGCATTTTAATTCTGTTGGCCATGATGTCTGCACACTCAAATTTAAGAGGACTGATATGATCCAGCCCCTTAGAAGAGGTGGGAAAAGAAACAAGCTGTTACCTCAAAGAGAAGCTAAATGGATACATATCTTACAGAGAGCCCTAGAGGTTTAAATGAAGAACTTCTTTTGAGTTGTTTCCTTTGACTGGTCCCTGTAAAATTGTCTTTCATGCAAGGATGAGATCTCCTGTTGTCTTTTTTGACCATTAGACTACTTTATGATATATTGTCCCTTTTTATTAGGACTTATTTTTTGATACATTTATATATCCTTGAAGCACCTGTATTCCCCTTTTGAATGTAAATGTCTCTCTTTTTCAGAGACTTTTTTTCACCTCAGTTAATGCATTTAGTGTCCCCTCCACTATTAAGGTTAGTCAGTACTATACAGTTGATTAGTAGAGCCCTGTAATCATTTTTAAACTTTTTCTAACTCTATATTTTTAGTATTGATATTGGTGTAGATTCTTTGTAATAGGTTCAGACTATTTTTCTGTGGTTCTTTTAGTCTCTAGTAGAGTTATATCCAGTGACTTAAAAGCCTCTTTTCAGTCTCTTTTCTGTCACCTTAATTCTCCCCTTCTTACTGTCTGACATTTTTCTCATTCAACTAGTCTAAAGCTTAATAATTTTGATGTTCTTATATGTTTCAATGTATTTGAATATTTCTGTTTGCATGTATTGATTCTTGTGCATCAGTCTTGGCAGTTGTCTTGTGTCAGCCTGTCATTGGCTGCAGCTGCTACACATATGGTTTCTATTGCCTCTCATTACACCTTGCACTGTAAGGTTCACAATAAGTGAACTAAATGAATGAAAACAGTCTCCACTGTCTGACTTTTTAAACCCCTTTTATTCCTTAGATGCTGGTCAATTGTGAACAGATGGTTTTGGTGGATAATAAGAGGCCCGATCACTTTTTCAGTGCTGGTAAGTGAAGTGTCTGAACTACAGTACAGATTTTTTCTACGTGATGTTCATGTTACAGATACATTGTGTTGCTCCCATTAGTCTTGTTCCTCTGGTGAAGCCTTTAAGTAAAAGTCACTCTGATTTCATACTGCATTTCACGTGTCCTGTCTTGTGAAGGCATGTGATATAGAAGCTGTTGTACAGTGTGGTAGTCACAAGAATGACTGATTACTAATTTCTTGGTGAACAAATAACAGGTCATTAGGTAGTCATGCTTCTGCTCCTCATAGTTTCTCTCATCTAATTAGTGGCACCAGCTGATTGATTTATCACACCTGGTAGGAATTTATCTGTATGCCTATTTGTTGTTCAAAGCACTCATGTCAGAAGCACTGATGATAGTCAAGGACTGAAATGTTTGCTGCTGTTTTTATTCACTCTTTTTTTTGCACTTTGAACACCTTTTTGTGCACAGATGTCTTTAAAAAAAACAGACTATTTTTGCATTGATTTCAGCCAGTGGACCTTTTTGTGACTTTCTAAGTCCAGTTACATTGGTGTGTGAGTGTCTCCTCCACTGTCCTTTCTCATTTGTCTATTGCACCGACACACCTGAGACAAACTTTTTTGTTGCCTGAAGTAGGCACAGTTCCACAGCAGCCCTATGACTTTGTCAGTGTACAAATGCACATTGACAAGAGTGTTCCCAAATGTACATTTTCATATATATTTATTGAGTCACTAAGTCTCTAAGTCTGGATGTGTGTTGCAGGTCATTTTCTTCTTATTCGTCAAGATTCTCATGCTGCTGCTGTCAAAGCTGAAAGCAGATCAGGTGAAATTTACAGACTACAGATACAGGTATTTTCCCCTGCCTTCTATCTTTGCTCTTCCCCGAGCTCTTTCCCAAGTGGTCTCTTTAAACAGTACAGTGGGTTCTCGGTTAAACATTAAAATGTCAGCCACTCCCACGTACAACAGACATTCCAATGTTAAACCTTTAAGCTCTGGCCTCTTTGTTCTACCATAAATGTCACCACAGGATGGAAGCTCATGTATATATTTACAGAGCTTCTCTTTGTTCTCTATTTTGTCCTTTATTATTTTATAGTTGTTATAGTTTATTTTTTTGCACAATTAAAACACAGAAAAGGCAATGAAAAAAGAATAATGTAATACAGTGCAGGGAGAGGCAAAAAACGCAGAGGGCTTATTTGAAGCCTCCACCTAATAAAATTAAAAAAAAATTATTAAAAAAAAACAGCAATAATAGTAATCAATATTTGTGTAATTAGGCGTGCATGTATGTGTGTATGCATGAGGGGAATAAAAGTTTATACCGTATTATTCTTGGAACCCATCGGCCGTGTTCGGCGTCTGACTTCCGGCAGACTGCGATACAGCCTCTGGGGGCAGACCCCCGATTTTTTGGCATTCCGGTTTGATTTGGCCGGAGGAGGTGAATTTTAGTTTCCGACTTCCGTTTATATAGTAAATATGCTGAACCATTCCGCCTCGTTAGTTCAGCAAATGGACCGTTTAACCTGGCAACGACTGCAGCCGGCTCAAACGTGATTGGTCAATATCACGTGGACCACAAACAGCCTACAACCGGAAACCAGGGCTCTTCCGCTCTTCTTCCGGAGGCAAGATCTACGGGGTTTGCCTACAGACTCTACATTCACTGAATGTAGAGTCTGTATATAGAGACTAATACCGTATTGACCCTTGAGCAATCATAGAAATGTATCATAGTGAATAAAACAAGCTAAAACATGAACAATAATACAAAAAGGAGGAAAACCCTTTACAAGAGAGCAGTAAAATGTTTTTAAGGCATCTTTTGCAACACTTTATAGACCCACAAGTTTTTACCAGGTGGAAAAAAGCATTCCATAATTTAGTTCCCCTAAATCTTATTTAAAATTGACCTCTACAAGTCTGGAATTTAGGAAGGTGAAGTTCTGCTGGGCCCAGTATTTCAAAGTGATCTGATAGGATTATCCTGGCCAGATTGGATTAAATCCTGATCTGATCTGAAAACTGGGTATTTCAACACGGATCAAGCAGATCTGGTAATCCAGTCCACCCTTTAATCCAGATAAAGGCTGCATTTGGGTATTTCAAAAGTTAAGGCAGAGATCTGGATCAATTTGATACGAAATTTCAGGATTATTTGGATCCCACCTCAGAGGTGGATTTGACAAAGCCTCAGCTCCACTTCTCCTAGATATTGTTACTCAAGATGTTCATTGCACTTAATCCAAATTAGTGTTTTAGTTGTAAGTAATTTCAAGCATAGAAAAATATTGTTTGGCCATACGTCTAGTTTCACCTAACATTGTAACTTGTTTGTATCGAAACATCCAATGTTTGTGGTCAGACGACGGCAAGGAAATGCAAAGCAAATTTATTTGTATAGCACATTCTTTTCTTTACATAGAGTGCAAGAAACCACACAGGGATAAACATAATAAGCACATGGCAATTCAAACAAAGTATTCAAAAAGCAATTAGAAACAAAATGCAAATCAAAATAGTGTCACAGAACCTAAAGACTGCTCACAGGTCTGAGGTGAGCTTCTTTTCCAGAAGTTTTATCTTCAATTCTGTCTCTCTGCTGAAGCAGCATCAGCTTGAGCTGCTCGTCAGCCAATTCAATTTGTCTCACTGCCCTCTCAGTCTCCATTATCTGTCAGGAATCCACAATAGTCAGAAATTGTAGAAAGTACAGAAAAGCATATCACCAGCATTACTGTAGCATACCCAAACTCAATCCTCTGACACTTCTGAATGAACCGCATAATTCATACTAGTACTGTGTATTTTTCCTATACAGTCTGCTCTGCACACATGTAAAAAAAAAATATATTTTTTTTTTAAAGGTCTGCTGTGTTGGCAATAACATAACGTTAAACTCTGAACAGGTTGGAGTTTAAAGAGTTAATGTATGACGTACTTCAGATAAATTCCCTTTTAAACTAGAAAAGCACTCAGAGAGTGCAGACCTCCGCCAAGTAGGTGATTTTCCCTCCTCCTCTGCATCAGATTTTGCACCCTGCATCACAATCAGGTTATTTGCATCACTATCATTATTAGTTAGGTTATATATGCCTTCACCATGGAGACACTGTGGTGTATTTATTTTGTTTTTATTTTGTACCAACACAGGCCCAATTAGGCCTACTCGCCACTGCCAACCAGTGGCGCACGTCTGGTCATAGCCTACTAGCTACTTAACATGCAAGTCAATGGAGCCGCGTTAGCTACCGTTAGCATGACTTCGGCTCAATTAGAGATCGGTACGCCCACGTTTTAAGTACATGACAATTCAAATAGCTGGCTCACATGAGATGGTGGGTGGCCTTCGTATGGTCTTAAAAACGCTACACATTAGATAATGGTAAACTTACATTTTGATGTGAAAGCTGTGCTACCAACTGCTCCTGTTGTGAAGTAGTCCGCCATGTCCGGGGGCGGAGTCGTGAGATGTGGAAATCCGCATCCGGTCAGATTGGGATCAAAGTGATCCACTCTGCCAATGTTTTGAAATACCCAGATAAAGTCAGCAGGATCACCTTGATCCCTGACTGAGAAAAGGAGGATTTCATTATCCAGATTATTCTGATCCAGATTACAAGTTTTGAAATACTGGGCCCCAGGGGTGGGCTGGGGTTGAAATTCAGCCCGGGAGCTTGATTTGGAGAGGCCGTTTTTCCGATTGCACGACGGACGCAAGTGGAACCGTAATTTTAACATTAATACTTTATTTGCAGTATAAAAAATTAATGATATTAAACACAACACACACAGATTAGTCAGTCAGTAGAGTGTATTGAATATAATATAATTCTATGCAAAGACCTATTGCCAACCCAGTCCTGCACACTGCACCTGAACTTGGCACTGTTTTTTTGGTGGTTCCTGCTCCACTTTCCTCCTTCTCCTCCTCTTCTTCCTCCTTCTTCTCCTCCACCTCCTCTTCCATCTCCTCCTCCTCCTTCTCCTGTCCCTCCTCATCTGTCTCTTCCTCCTCCTCACTCCTATGACTGGCATTATCCTGTCCCTCTGCATCAACTCCACAACTGACACTGGCCTTGTCAGCTAACAATAACCCTAACAGTAACAATGATAAACGTTATAGCACTTTTGCAAAGAATTCACAGTGTTAGAACAAAAATACAATATAAAAATCAACATAACAAAAGTGCCACACATACGCACACACACACACACACACACACGCACACACACACACACACACACACACACACACACACTGTAAATGAATTACTCACTTTAATGTATTTTTCTGGTAAAAATGGCTATATATTAATGTAGAAACAGAACAGGAAAACAGGATGTATAGGCTAGCCTATATATTCTAATATTATCTTTTTAACTTTGAACACAGACTCTCTCCTGAAATAGGCTACGTTTTATTTTGCAATAAAGAAATTTGTGCATTTTTCTGGTCAGCCAGTATGGATTTTATTTTTAATTGATAGAGCAGATTAATGATTAATGCACATATGGTGTAACATTGCTGATAGGCTACCTTTAATGTTCTGTGTGCCCTGAACACATCCAAAAACACAAGCTAGAGTTCTCAATGGACCTGAAAATTACAACCAAGACCAAATTACAACCCAGACCCGACGCAGCCGACACACTAGCATTAGCCTAATTGTCTGCCTGAAAAAAAGGAAGCCCGAGGCCCAGCCCGGCCCAAGTCATTTGCATATTTTTTCGGCCCGAACTCGACCGAACCCACGGGTCCAGTCGCAGTGCTTGCTAACCGCTTGTATCCCCCCTTAATATGCAAAATATTAGATTGACCCAGTCTGACATTCCACTCTGTGCCACTGCCACCTGCGGCTGCGAGGGCAGGCTGCTGCGGTCAACCGCGGCTGCGTTTTATGGGGTAAAAAAAAAGTTCCGACCACCGGCTGGTTTGGCCTGGAACAGACCGGCCGTTCTGGAATACTCCCGAACCTCCCTATGGCCAGCCCGCCCCTGCTGGGCCCTGATGATTTAGTGAGTATGAATGTAGTTGTGGGTTAGCTGTAAAATAAGTTGTGAAGTGCTCAGGAATATTCCCTTCACTTAAAGGTATTTTGTAACGTTACATAAAAACACATATTGTAAAAAATATTTATGTCATAAATAGTGAGAATCTGAAGTCACTGAAATAAAGGTGCAGATGACATGTGTGACTCTGATCGGGTTGCGATCCTAACAAAACGTTTCTGGAGGACCAAAATTTTATGTAGAGTAGTCAGAAAAGTACTTGCCCAAACTATATTAGAATATGAAAGATAGGGATAAATCAGACTATAATAAAGGGTTAGGAGACAGTTTATGGTAACAAGATGACTGACCCTCATTATTATACCAAGAGATTTATGGATTTTTTTTTACTAACCCACTCAGTTTGTTCTCTCCAGTTCAAACTCATCAACAAAAATGCCCCAAAATTTTTTACTGGACACTTGAGGCATCTCAATAGACTCAATTATAATTTTAGATCATTTTTTAGAGTAAGCCTTTTTGCCACTGAAAATAATAAAGTTAGATTTTCTTATATTCAAAGAAAATTGATTTAATCTGAACCACATAGCCTAGGCAGTTAAATCAGCATTCACGTCTTTCACCAGTGGATCAAAATTTGAATTGGAAAGAACGAGGGTTGTGTCATCAGCAAAAATTATTGGGGAAAGGATATTTGAGACAGATATAGATGAGGAATAATACTGGTCCAAGAATGGACTCCTGTGGAACCCTACAGGGTAATCTAGACTTGTTGGAATAGCAACCCTTAACACAAACAAACTGACTTATATCAGTGACATAATTATTAA